AGAGAGAGAGAGAGAGAGAGAGAGAGAGAGAGAGAGAGAGAGAGAGAGAGAGAGAGAGAGAGAGAGAGAGAGAGAGACATTTTGCGACATTTGAGGGCATTTGACGAGACAGAGAGAGAGAGAGAGACCATAGCCGAGACTCGAGAGAGAGCGATAATTTTACGGCATTTGGATTTTGCGGCATTTGGATTTTGGGGCATTCGGATTTGACGAGAAGAAGAGGAGGAGCATATGGCTTCTACTGGTAGGTTTATCTTGCTCCTTCAACTCCGGTCGTCCTTCTTCTTCTTCTTCTTCTTCTTCTTGTTCTTCTTCTTCGTGGTCTTGGTCTTCTTCTTCGTCTACTCCTTCTTCGTCTTCTTCTTCGTCTTGGTGGATTTTTTATCTTCTTCTTCGTCTTCTTTTTCTTCTTCATCTTCTTCGTCTTCTTATTCTTCTTCTTCTTCCTCTCCATATTCTTCTTTTTGGTCTTCTTCTTCGTCTACTTCTGCTTTTTCTTTTCTTCATCTTTGTGTTCTTCTTTCTTTACTTCTTCTTGGTCGGGAGGGATTGTTGGGCGCCATGCGCCATAGCTATCTTGAGTGATGTGAATCAGGAGGGAGAGAAACACAACCCGCCCGGTGATACCTCCGCGTGAAACGCAACGTGTTTTTTTTCATTTTTTTACGTGGCAAACCGCTACGTGGCATCCCGATCCGGATTCCGATCGCCGCTCCGCCCGCCTCCACGCAGCTTCCCAATCCCAATCCGAATCCCAATCGCCAGGTGGACCTCTTCTCACTTTCGCGCATCTCCACAGACCCAAGTTGATTGATTGATTGATTGATTGATTGAGTGGTGGGCGAGTGGTCGCCACCCCACCTTAACTTACTTGCGCGTCGTCAGTGATGGTCAGTGATGGGGGGTACGTTGTGGTCAGTATGTCATGGTCAGTGAATCAACCGATCAACCAATCAACTTGGATTCATTGGTCGATTGATTGATTGATTGCTTTAAAAAAAAATAAAAAATGTTTATGCTATCGCGAACACGTGGGGATGGCAACCGACCCCAGTGAATCAATCAATCAATCAATCAAGATTGGTTGACTGATTGATTGATTGATTGACGCTTCCAATCAATCAATCAATGCGGGCGGGGGGGAAGCGTCCCCGCTTCCTTTTTTTCACTTTTTTTTTTCTTTCGATTGATTGATTGATTGATTGATTGATTGATTGATTGATTGATTGATTGATTGATTGATTGATTGAGTGGTGGGCGAGTGGTCGTCCCCCCAACTTTCCTTACTTGCACGTTGTCATCATGGGGAGGGGGAGGGAAGGGAAGCGCAGGGCGAGGCATGGCCATGAAGGCCTTGCCACGTGGTCATCCGCGCGGCGTCGCCATCTCGGTTTTGGCTTCCCGATCCCGATCCCGATCCGGATCCCGATCGCCATGTGGACCTGCCACGTGGCAGCGCCTACCTCCGCCTACCTCCGCCTACCTCCGCCTACCTCCGCCCATCTTCGCCTACCTCCGCCGACCTCCGCCCCCGCCCGCTTCCTCTTCCCAATCCACTTCCTCTTCCGCTTGCGCCCCCATCATGGCGCTGCCACGTGGCAGTGCCGCTTCTCCCGGCTTCCCAATCCCAATCCGCTTCCCAATCCCGATCGGTTTCCCAATCCCAATCCACTTTCGAATCCCGTCTCCGCCT